CCTCTAACTGGGCAAGGGGAAACAGAATATGAGTTCCAGGGTTGAAACTCAGTCCTGAGAAGAGGAGGGAATGTAAGGTCAGGCCTGTTTCTAACTGCCCAGGAAACGGCCAAGATGTTTGCATTCCCCCAGGCCAATTTGCCAATTTCCCCAGGCCACCTGGGTGTGGTTTCTGCCTATAAAAGCTTGTAACTAACCTCTGTTCAGGGCTCTCAAGCGGCAGTCTTTTTCTGGACTGCTGCTTGTGGGTCCCTGCGCAGCGCTTGGAATAAACCTCCTGCTCTTTGCATCAAGACTCGGGCTCTGCGTTTGATTTGGGGTCGCCGCTCATCCTTTGGACCGGGGGTCTTTCAGGCCTTACAATACCATATAGGGATATTTTTTGTTCTAATCCAATGGCAATTCAAATTCAAACTGTACCTTTTCTGCACCTCTCCCAGGAGTAAGTAATGATATTCCTCTAACTTTGGTGCAAGCCAGAAACCTCTATTTAATTTTCACACACAAAGGAGCAACTGCATGGTGTGGTTCCAGGCACAAGTTCCTCATTAGTCTGGCTAGTTTCTCTCTTGGATCCCTGTTGCAGTTTAATATTTCTAGCAGGAATCCACACAGGTTTGGAAAAATTTTCTGGGAATATACAAGCATACTCTCTGCCAAAGGTTAATAATGGATCAGGTCCCTTCCATAAACCAGATTCGGGATCCTTCCATTTAACTAGACCATTTTCTTTTGTTTTACTCTGATGCCAATGTATTTCCATAGGCGTCCTTCCTTCATCATCACAAGTGAAAAAATTTAAAATAATTAAGGCTTGGTGCAGCGTACCCGCAGATGATTTCTCCATCATCCCACCTTTTTGTTTTTCAAGTTGGGATTTGAGCCGCTGATGCTGTTGCTCAATAATGGCCTGTCCTTGGGAATTATATGGTATTCCTGTAATATGCTGAATTTTCCACCTTTTACAAAATTCCAGGAATTGACAGCTTTTGTAAGCAGGCCCATTATCAGTTTTAATGATTTTGGAATTCCCATGACAGGAAAAGCAGCTAGGCAATGATTAGTAACCTGTTTTGCCCTTTGTCCTGTAGATGCAGTAGCCCATAGGACTTCTGAAAAGGTATCTACGGAGACATGCAATGCCCCAAGGCGTCCAAAGGAATTATAATGCGTTACATCCATTTGCCAGATATGGTCTTTTAGCAAACCTCTGGGGTTGACTCCTGTGTTAGGCCCTTGAGGTAGATGTAAAATGCAAGTTGGACATTCCTTAATAATCTGTTTTGCCTGTAGTCGACTGATTGAGAATTGTTTAGACAACATTTTGGCAGGCTGATGTAAAAGTTGATGAGATTGTAAGGCTTCTTTTAATAAAGCAACCAGTTGCGGAAACCGGTTTGGCTCAGTGATAGAGCGTAGGTCTGTGGACTGAAAGGTCCCGGTCAAGGGCATGTACCTTGGTTGCAGGCACATCCCTGGTAGGGGGTGTGCAAGAGGCAGCTAGTCGATATTTCTCTCTCATCGACGTTTCTAGCTCTCTGTTTCTCTCCCTTCCTCTCTGTAAAAAATCAATAAAATATATGTATATATAAAAAAAGAATTTGGAGGGCATCACAAATATTCAGTCTATAGCAGCCTCTGTGAAGGTCTGGTTTATATGTTTAAAAAAATTAAAAAATTTTAAAAAAGCAACCAGTTGATCAGCCTGTGCATTTCCTTTTGTTAAAGGACCAGGTAAGACACTATGAGCCCTGATATGAGTGATATAAAAAGGATATTGTCTTTGTTGTACAATCTGCTGAACTTGTTTGAATAGCAAATATAAACTTTGGTCACTAAGCCATTTCAACCGGGCAGTTTCAATTCTATTCACTAAGTTTGCAGCATAAAAGGAATCAGAGACAATATTAAGAGGCTCTTGGAAATCCTGCAATGCAGCCTTAATAGCTTCTAGTTCGATTCTTTGTACAGAAGTATGACTGGTCAATATGACTCGGTTTGAATTTATTGTATGATAGTCAGCTTTCCCATTTGATTACCCAGCAGTAAAAACAGTTAACGTTCCAGTAATAGGTTCCTGCATACATTTACTAAAATCTCCTTGAGGGTCCCCTTTTGTTGATAAAGCATATCAGGCTTTCCTTCCACAAAGTCTTATTTGCTCATATGCCTGTTTCACATAATGTAATTGATTTTGTACATCCTACTGTCTCAGTCCTGCCAGCATTTCATAAGTTATTTGAGCATTCGGCCCTCCATTTGTGTGGGCTTGCTCTTGACATTTCTCCAAGTATTCTCCTTTCCAAATTAAATAATCTCCTCCATCCAGAGTTGCACAAGCCAGAGTATACCAATTAGAAGGAGTTAAGAATGCATCAGAAGTATTATTCATGATTTCTCCTGTAAAAGGAGCCATTGGAGCATTTTGAAGCTTTCTCATAAAGCTTTTATCATTTTAAAATCAATTTTTTCATGGCTTCTTACTATTTGATTTGGGTTCTGTGGGTCAGCTACTTGTATAATAGGAAAAGCAAGCCTTTCTTCCACCGACATGTCCTTTATTCCTTATCTGATAACTTTTTGTAGAGCGAATTCTTTTGGTGAATTAAATGTTTCAGGATTAGGACGTGGAGGTGGAGGGGGCCATAAAGGCCATTCCTTCAATTTTTCTTCCTGCTCCTCTCTGGGAGGAGCAGAGGGAACCAGGAGAGGAAGCTCCTCCTCAGCTTCTTTAAAAGGCTTTAGCAAACGAACTATTATGTTCCCCATGGTGAAACAGTTTTTTTGTTTTTATCAACTTTTTGCCAAATACTCAAGATCTAAAACCAAGGGTTATGTTAAACAAAAATTATAAAAGAATACTTTCTGAAAATTCTAATAACAAAAATTACTTTATATTTATAACCTAATTCTTTCCCATTAGCCTGGCTAAAAAAGACGTTCCCACCCTACTTACAGTTCGCGATTCTGCAGCTGGCCGTGGGCTTTGAGTGCGGTCAATTTCCCTCACCTTTTTCTGCTGAAATTCCCTCACCTTTTTCCGGTGAATTTTCCACACCTTTTCTCAGTGTACTTTTCCACACCTTTTCTCAGTGTAAATTTTGTTCTTTCCTTCACCCTTAGGCAAAAAATACCTTCTCCTCCAGAAGTCCCGCGTTGAAGGCGCCAGATGTGGGAACCCTTAACATGACCCGAGTGATTAGGGCCCACTCAAGTTTCTGGAGGAGGCCACACACTAAAATGAAGAGAGAGACTAGAAAAGAGTTAATTTGGGACAAATGGGGGGCCAGGCAGGAGTCAACCTCTAGTGGGAAGACTCTAGGCTCTGGCCTTACTATCCCTTTTATTGAGGTTGCTATGGGATACACCCATTACGCTTAAGCAGCTTTGGGAAACACCCAGTACCCTTAAGCAGCTTTGGGAAACATCTATAGCTCTTAGGCAGGTAATAATCGGATTATCATATCAGTAAGGATTTACATAATTACAAGATGGGGAAGTTGCCTCAGTTACTATTGTCTCAATTAGATAGGGTGTGGTTGGCTCTGACCTTTCAGAGATTCAAGGTTGACTAGCCTCTTTCTATTAGTGAGACAATGATTGGTTTCTGGCACTTTTACAGGTGATGATCCAGTTTTCCCAACACCTTGTGTTGAAGCCTGTCTTTTCCGCCATTGACTGGTCTTGGCACCCTTGTTGAAACTCACTTGACCATATACAGGAGAGTTTCTTTCTGGGCTCTCTATTCAGTTCCATTGGTCTATATGTCTGTCTTTATGCAAGTATCATGGTGTATTTACTTTAGCTTGGTAATGTCTTTGGAAATCAGCAAATGCAAGCCTCTAAATTTGTTCTCTTTGAAGATTGTTTTGGCTCCTTGAGGTCTCTTGTGGCTTCATATGAATTGAGAATTAGATTTTCTATTTTTTTTTTTAATTAAATGCCATCTATAATTTTTTTTTAAAAGTGGGGGGGGGTGGGGGGGCTAATATGGTCATTAGAAAGAACAGTGAATGACCTTCTGGATGTCCAAACTGATAGGTCCTCCCTTCCCCCAACTGTGGGTGGTGTATGACATAACCTGCAGCATGGATATACCTGAGTACCTAACCAGGCACTTTATATGGACTATACATTGAACCACCAATCAACACCAGCCAAATACCCTAAGCCCTTGTCCCTATATGATCATACATTAAGCCACCAATCAGCAGGTGCTGAGTACACTAAGCTCCCAATCCTTCCCATTGCTGCCCTCAAAAGTTATGTTCACCATTTCACATGTTGCCCTTCTCCCATTCTGAGACAGCCCAGCAGGTCTATTTCCCCTAATGAAGCCTGTAATCCTGCCTTTCCACTCCCAATTGATTTTCTCATGGACATCTTTCTGGACAAAGCCAGGGGATGACGGGGGCTGAGGCAGGGCCAGCTGCTGGGGAGGCAGTTGCAGGGCCAGGGCATCCAGGGCTGCAAGTAGAAACCTCTGGCCTGGGTTAGCCCACAGCCCCAACCCATGCCAGCCACCAAGCCTGTCTGCTGTTCCCTGATGCCACAGCACAGCCCCCACCTCTGCCCAACCTGGCCCTTTGGGACTAAGCTGAAGCTGCTAGGGCAGGCCCAAGCAGCTGGGACTGCCAGGGCTTGCTGGGGCTATGAGGTCTGGCCAGGACTATGAGGGCCGAACCCCTTGCACGAGTTTTTGTGCATCTGGCCTGTAGTTGGGATATTAATACATTACAATTAAACTGTACATTGTTTTGGATACCATGGACAGTTTAACAATATTAAATTTTCCAACCCATAATTTTGTTGCTAATGAGGATGAATTTTCAAAGAAGCAGTTGCTCTGGTCACTTCCATGGAATCTCTTTATAATCAACCCACTGAGGGGATTCATACAATACGCCAATGTTACTCTGTGACTCCCTGAGGTGAAGACAGGACAAGGGTTCCAAGGCTTCAGGTCCACAGGCTGTGTGAGAAGATTAAGCAAGTTGGACTTTCTCCCTGCTTTTTTGTTTTTTCTCTCTCTGGTTTAAACTATCTGGTAATGCAGTTAGTGACACTGTTATGTAATCAATCCATCCTCATTTCTCCTGCCAATGCAAATGGAACAATATTCTTTAAAAAATAAGATCCTGCGCTAGCTGGTTTGGCTCAGAGTGTCTGCCTGCGGACTGAAGGGTCCCAGATTGGTCTCTGTTTGGCAGTTTCAACTTTCCCTCCAAGCACCACAGAAATACAAAATGTCAACTTGCCAGTGCCTCAAGACCTGTAATCCTGAGACTGCAATTTGGAAGAAGTGCCCACAAGTTATCCAAACAGTGGAGGCTAAGGAGCACCATGGTGGCAGGTTTGGGATGCCTGAAGGATGAGGATAGAGAAGCAGGTTGTCTCTCAAGGTTACTGAACCCAAGTGATTGAGGCACGGGGTGAATGAGTCTTGAGGACCCAGGACCTTAGATGTCTGTGGCAAACATGGGGTTAAGGCATCTGTGGATATAAGAGCTATCTGCAAGGTTTTCTTCCTACTTACCTAAAGGAACTCTGCAGTGAAATGTGCTCTGTCATCTAAGCATGCCCACTGTTGCACTGTTTTCCCAAAGGAGCTGGTGGGGTACTGCACCAACTGATTCAAAAGCTGTGTATTCAAAGGAACCTGCACAGACCTGTCCAGTTGTTAAGGACTTTTCCCCACCAGGAGCATGAAGATCAAAGCTTTTCCAGACACCAGAGGAGGTGCTGCCCATACCTGAAGAAGGGGAAGACCTGGGCAGCTTGGGTCCCAGTGATCAAAACCATGACATCAGGAAGCCTTTACCAGGTTTCTCTATACCCTATTCCTCCTATTGTTTTAACCATAGACCAGTAGTTCTCAACCTTCCTAATGTCCTAACAACCTCTGAATATAATACAGTTCCTCATGTTGTGGTGACACCCACAGTTTAAGAACCGCTAACAGCATCACTTAAGACCATCAGAAAACACAGATATTTACATTATAATTCATAACAGCAGCAAAATTACAGTTCTGAAGTAGCAACGGAAATAATTTTATGGTTGGGGGTCACCACAACATTAAAGAGTCGCAGCTTTGGGAAGGTTAAAAACCACTGCTCTAGATTCTCATTTCTACTTTGGCCCTTTTCAAATCCCTTACTCAGATAAGAGATCGCCCCTCCAATCACACAAAGTGTGCACTCAGCCTCCTTAGAGTTTCTCCTATGAGGCAGGTGGTCAGCAAAGCCATTCAGAACCCTCAGCTCCACAATGTTAGCCTTTGGACTTGCATGTCTCACCTTAAACCCAATGCAGCCTCAAGTACCTTAGTAGGCAGCCCTCTTTACCCATGAAGAACTTCTTCTCTTTGAGGTCTCTCAGCTCTGCCCACCATGATCCCATGTGTGTGTGAGACAGATCTCAACAAAGACACAGGCTTTACACTGTATTTTGTTTACAAATATTTTATTCAGTTTCAAGTCTCTCTCTTTAGTCAGAAAATCAAATTCAGTAAAATTATGATGGCAAATGGATGATACCATGCTGCGAAGAAATAGTTTCATTCAGAGAAGTTTTTATTTATGATTATAAGTGAATCAACTCGTTTCATTGTAGCTCATCCAGGAAGGCAAGATGTTGTTCATTCAGTACTGATAACTGCTTTCACTCGTTGTTTATTATTTTTTTAAATTATATTAGTGCAGATTGGTTCACGAAGATTCTTCTTCTTAAAGAGATAAGTGATATTTTTCATAGGTTTAACAAACCTGGTTTGAATAACAGCAGCAATCTTTCTCATTACAAACTGAAGAATATTCTCAATTGCAAAATTAAGTACTGGGTTTAAAACCATCATTAACATGTTATTTCCATATGTTATTAATTTCTCTGGTATAAATCGCATCATCTTATCAATTATAAATTGAGCAAATATGTTGAGTAGATATTTCATCAGGCCTTGGAATAATAAAATTATCATACCTTTGAAAAACATAATGTATAGGAACTTCAGTCTCAGCTCCGACTTCAAACCTGGTGCCACTTGTTCTATGCTGGGTCTTAATTTATCAAGGTGAATATAAACAGGAAGGCCAATGCCATGAACATAAAAGCAATTGGGTTCTCAGTTCCCCAGGACAGGAGGCCCACTGCTCTCCTAGCTGAGACACAGCAGGACTGGCAGAATTGGGGAAGGTTGCTCAAAGATAAATACAAGGGGTGGGGCTAAGCCTGAGCTGTGATTGTGTGATTTCCCAGGAAAGGCTCCCAAAGCAAAGGGTTTAACATTGTGGGATCTGACAGACAAACCCCAGTGGGCTTGCTGAGAAACATCTGCTTGGAATGGGAGTTAGATAGGGAGAATTGTGCCTCGATAAGATTGAGCATGTAATAGCATTTGATTTTTCTAATTATAAAACATCTAGATGTTCATTTTAGATAATTGAAACTATGGGGCATGTTAGAAAGTAGTGAGCCACAAAACCAGGGGCCCCTGTAGAACACAAAGGATACTCAGGAGTCATACAAAAAGTCAAATAGCTTTATTTCTGCAGAAGGTGGTCAGCCAACACAGGGTGTGGTCAACACCCACATGGAGTATGGGGGCTGCTGGGGTTTTATTTCTGATGCAACAGTCTGTCTCTCACTCTCAGTTTGTCACAGCTTGAGTTCATATTCTTTTATGATTGGCTACTTCAAAGGGTGGTCAGGGGTTGACATCTGAGGTTTTAAGATGGAGGTGCCCAAGGGAGTGCAAATCATGGAGCCAAAATGGCGGCTGCTTAATACTCCCTACTTTGATGGAATAGAATGTTGGTTTATTCTCACAACTTCCATAATTATTATAAAGTCTTTTTTAAATATTAAGATCTAGTTAGCTGACTTATGAGTATTTCTCAGCCAAGTGAGTTATTCACTGTCTGTGGGAATTACTGGCCAATTATGTGAAAATAAACAAAACATAACTCAGAGCCAGGCTACTACTTTGTTTGAAAAATTCAAGTCAAGTGGCCATATTATAACAAATATTAAGTTTCTCTTACAATTAACAAACAAGCATTACTACATATCATACATATATTAAAATATAATTATACATCCATGGGACAACATTGAGACACTCATACATTTAAATTAAAGAAGTAGATGCAGATGTTACAAGTATTAAATTAACAGAGACTATAGACTAGAGTATGATAAAGATTTTTTTTAAAGATAAGGAGCTAATTAGCTGGCATATATGACCAGCTCCCAAGTAAGTTGTTAACTACCTGAAGGAACTGGCTAGCCAATTACATGAAAACATTTAAGACACTACTTTGTTTTATTTTTTTTTAATGTCTTTATTGATAAAGGTATCACATATTTGTCCTCACACCCCCATTGCAATCCTCACCTAGAGTACAACACATCCAGTGCCCATGGTATGGAGAGCACTATGGGACTGACCAGTGGTACTAACTGACCTTTCTACTCCCCAGGGCTCAGCTCTTCTCGCAACCCAGTCATGCTGATGTGTTCCACCCTCTCTTTTCACACCTATTCATAAGGGAGCAACTAGCATACCTCTGCAATGCCAGTGTGACTACAGGGTGGGGCCTGCCCAGCAGGCCAGCTGAGGGGCCTCATCCTGAAAAGAAACAGGGCTGAGGTCCCCAGTAAAGGAGCACCCAACGTTCTCATCCAGGCAGGTGACTGGTGACTGGTGACTGAGCTCTCACTCAGTCCCTCAGGCCTCCACAGAGATGACCAGCAATTCAACCACATCTCCACAGCGGGAGAGTGGAAGGTTCTGAGGCAGGAAGGTCGCTGTGGAAGGTGCTCATTGAGATGGAGAGAAGCCAGGGACAGTGCAGGACTTGGTATGAGGAATGGATAGAAGAAAAGAGAGGGGTGAGGGAGACTGAACAAGCTGCAGCATCATCTCAAAGGCCATGGGGACAGTGAACCCTGAGGGAAGTGGCCGCACAGAGTCCATCTGGTGCTTTGCCAGGTCTCCCCTCCAAGAGCATGTCCTGGAGACACTGTTCAAAAGTCAGTGACCTTGCCCCATCCTGGCCCTGAGTGCTGACTGGCTTATGCCTGCCTTGCTCAGACCATCATCTATGTCCCTCTCTAGTCCTGGCATGGCCGAGCCTCTCTATGATATAAGTGTAGAGGTGCTGAGTCCCTGGGCAGCATGTCTGACAGACTTACCAGAAAGTGGCCCAAACACATACACACACACACACACACACACACACACACACACAAAAAGAAAGAAAAAAGAAATCACAGTAATCCAATTGAAACGTGGGCAAAGAAACTGAATAAACACTCTCCAAAGAGGACACACAGAGGGCCAATAGACATATGAAAAGATGCTCAATGTCACTAATCACCAGAGGAATGCAAATTAAAACCTAAGTGAGAGATTTCACACCTGTCAGAATGGCTATAATAAATAAAACAGCAAGTGTTGGTGAGGATGTGGTGAAAGGAAAACCCTCTTGTATTGGTGGGAATGCAGATTGGTATAGGCACTCTGGAAACAGTATAGAGGTTCCTTAAAAATTAAAAATGGAACTGCATATGACCCTGCAATTCCACTTCTGTGGATATATTCAAAGAAACTGGAAACACTAATTCAAAGGAATATATGCACTGCCTATGTTCATTGAAGCATTATTTATAATACTCAAGATATGGAAGCAGCCAAAATGTCAACCAGTGGATGAATGGATACAAAAAGCAGTGGTACATTTACAAAATGGAATACTATTTGGCCATTAAAAAATGAAATTTTAGCATAATGCTATGATAAGCAAAATAAGCCATTCAGAGAAAGATAAATATCACATGATCTCATTCATTTGTGAAATATAATGAACATAGACTAATGAACAAAAACAGATCCAGAAACAGAAGCATCGATCAGACTGTCAAATCACAGAGGGAAGGTAGGGGACAGTGAGGAGAGTGGGGAGAGATCAACCAAAGGACTTGTATGCATGCATTTAGCCCAACCAATGGACACAGACACCAGGGGTGAGGACATGAGAAAAGGTTGGAGGGTGGGGGAGACAATGTGGAGGTAAGGATGCATATGTAATATCTTAATCAATAAAGAAAAAAATAATTAAAAATTTGTAAATGAGATTTTATTTTTTGCATCTGCATACATGGACCCAGAGAACTTTATGCTAAGTAAAATGGGACAGTCAGAGAACCAAAAATACAATGTGATTTCATGTGTAGGTAGAATATAACAACCAAATCAAACAAACACAATAGAAACGGACTCAGATACAGAGAACAGACTGACAGTTGTCAGAGGGGCGGAGAGATAGGGGACTGGGAGAAATAGGTAAAGGGATTAAGAAAAAAAAAATAACAAAAAGCAGTATGGTGCATTACCACAGAAAAAGGAGGCATGAGTTTAGAGGATGGTAATGGGGATAATTGGTAATGGAAGGAGACTTAACTTCGGGTGGTGAACATACAATACCATACACAGATGATGTATAATAGAATTGTACACTTGAAATCTACATAATTTTACTAATCAATGTCACCTAATCAATTCAATGAATTAAAAAAAAAAAAAAGAGCATCCCTTGTCTCCAGGACTGGTAAAGTGGAGAAAGCTCCCTCATATTGGGTTGGAGGATGATTGTCCCCACTAGGATGAGTTCTTCTCCATCCTAGTACCCAGGCAAGCATACTTCTTGTGGCAGGTTGGAAGTAAAAATGGTTGGAACTGATCCTCCTATCAGCCTATAAGAGCCTGTATCTTTCTTGGAGACAAATAGGGAAGGAGTGGACACACTCCTCTCTGGTGGAAGGGTCTTCGAGGTCTCAAAGGAAGGATGTTGCTGTGTGATTCTACCATAGGGAGAGCAAGAACAGGGAAGAGGCACTTTTCATAATGTCCTCACCATTCATTCCTCTACCTCTTTCGCTCTGGGCAGAATTGGTAGTCCAATCTTGGGTATGATGCTGAAATTATTTACCTATATTTCTGTAATTGATGGTGAAATTATTGACCTATATTTCTGTAATTCATTCATCCCCACATGTGACTGGCCAAGCTGGTACCTTCTCCAAGGAATTTTCAGGGAAATGTTCTCAAAAACAGTTTCTTTTCCCCACCCAGCAATATTTGGGCACTATTTATTTATTTATTTATTTTGTCAGATGCTTTCCAATTCCATGGGAAAATTTAACTCCTACTCTTTGTAAAGGGATGAGTAAGAACAATGGACAGAGAGAAATCTCATGAGTGTTCACAGATGATCTTGAACTTCACATGAAGTTCATGAACTCATAAAATCAGAGCAGAGTCCACATAAAATCCACATTCATGTGATGAAACCCAGATCATGGGCGGCTTTCACCATTTCCTAAGAGCTAAAATATAAAAAGTGATGTTAATGATGAACTAGGAAAACTTGCAACATAGTTATGTATTGATAAATTGAAAATGGTTATTTGTTTTCCTTAAAAGAACATTCCAGGTGAGAAACCAAGATAGCGGCATACATAAGCACCTGAACTTGCTGCCTCACTCAACTACCTCAAAACAACAACTAAAAGACAAAACGCGTATCATCCAGAACCATGGGAAGGATGGCTGAGTGGAAATTATACAACTAGAAGGAAAGAGAAAAGCAGACTGAGACTTGGAGGAGGGGCAGAGGTACAGAAGTGAAGTGCAGAGGTATGGAGGCTTGAGATTCTGAGGAAAAAGCTGGTAACTGAGTACACTATTGTCTTTGTCAATCAGGAGAAAGAAACAAGCTCCCCACTGCTCTGAATTCCAGTTCCGTGTGGGACTCTGGGGACCCAGACTTATACAGGGAGGAACTGCACAGCCTAACATCAGGTAAAAATTTGAGTGCGGCTTTCAGAAGTGCTTGCAGCGATCATTGTGCCTGCATGGTGCCGCAGGACACAGAGACACTGGACCTCTCCCTGGTGATTCCATGAGACCCCACCCCAATTTAAAACCCCACCCAAGCTGTGTACAGAGCCTTCTGCATATGAATGGCCTGGCCCTTTGCAATCTGAAACCTAAGGTACTGCAGCTGGGTCAAAGAGCCCCAGAGCCTCCAAAAGCAGACCCAAGGCTCCACAGCAGCTTGCATTGCTTCACAGCTGGGCCTCATCTGGACACCTCCAAACCCCAAACAAAGAGAAGGAATCTGAAGATCTCTCTGTAGCTTCTGCTGGGTGGCCTCTCTCCTTGGAGAAACAAGTGCCCAGTGGTCAGAGACAGACCATCCAGACTACTACAACTCTTCAAATCCATAAGAGGCTGACTCAGGGGGCAGATTTAGAGAGCTTCAAAGCTCCACTGAAGCAAGCCTTGCTCCATAAGGGTGTTTCCAATGCAGAAGTTCTCCCATCATAGACACAACTGATCCTCACATCCAATTGGCCTGGAGGTCAATTCCTCCCAGTGATACCAACAACAATCAAGGCTTAACTTCAACAAGAATGTGCATACAGCCCACAAAGGGGTGCACCAAGAATGTCCACCTTAGGTAATTGGGGAAACTGAGCCACTGGGCCCTATAGGACACCTAGCACACAAAGCCACTCTATCAACTCAGGGAAGCAGCCAAATTGCAAAGACAAAGGAACAGTTCACAAACAAAAGAAATGGAGGAAAACAAATGACTGGATATAGAGTTCATAACCATGGCTAGAAGGTTTTTCAATAATCTTATAGACACTGGGGATTAATTTAGTGAGACCCTGGAGGATATGAAAAAGGACCGACTAAAAATTAAGCATATACTAACTGAAATGAAGAATAACATATAGAGATCCAACAGTGGACTAGAGGATCTCAAGAATCAAATCAAAGATTTGAAATATGAAGAAGCAAAAAACACCCAACTGTAAAAGCAAAAAGAAAAGAGAATACAAAAATATGAAGATAGTGTAAAGAGCCTCTGGGACAACCTCAAGCATACCCAACATACAAGTTATGGGGGTGCCAGAAGAAGAGAGAGCAAGATATTAAAAACCTATATAAAGAAATAGTGACAGAAAAGTCCCCCCACCTGGTGAAAGAAGTAGTCTTACAAGTCCAGGAAGCACAGAGAATCCCAAAAAATAGGAATCCAAAGAGGACCACACCAAGACACATCATAATTAAAATGCCAAGAGCAAAAGACAAAGAGAGAATCTTAAAAGCAGTTATTTGCTTACATGGGAGTACCTATGACTGTCAGCTGATTTCTCAACAGAAACTATGCAGGACAGAAGGGAGTGGCAAGAAATATTCAAAGTGATGAATAGCAAGAACCTACAACTAAGATTACTCTACTCTGCAAAGCTATCATTTAGAATTGAAGGTCAGATAAAGAAAAAGCTAAAAAAGTTTATCACCACCAAACCAGTATTATGTGAAATGCTGAAGGGTATTCTTTAAGAAAAGAAGGAAGAAGAAAAAGCTAAAGATAAAAAATTATTAACAACAATGTGACTACAATATATATCTGTCAAGAAGTGAATCTAAAATTCAAGTGAATAAAAAGTCTAATGAACAGAATAAACTGGTGAATATAATAGGATCAGAGGCATAGAAAGGGAGTTGAGTGACAATTCCCTGGGGAGGGGTAAAGGGTATGGGTTTGTGGGAAGAGATTGGACAAAAATCGTACACCAATGGATGAGGATAGTGCAGGGAGGCAAGGGCAAAGGGTAGGATGGAAACTGGTTGAGGGGAGCTATAGAGGGTGTGGGGGGAGAGGAATAACTATAATAATCTAAACAATAAAAATTTATTAGAAAAAAAAGGGAACATTCCAGTGTATTATTTTCATTTTACAGTGATTAAGGAGTTTCCTTCTGTCAACTGGCTAACTACAAGGTTGAGACCTGGTAGGAATGATTCCCCTCCCCTGTTTAAATCTCAAGGACATAAAGGTAGCTCCAAGGGCCTCATCCTGATCTCATGCCTCATACCAGCAGCAAACCGAGCTACCTCCAGAGCTCCCCTGGTCCTCAGTCAGAGGGTAGTGACCTGAGCACTATCCCTGGGCCCTAATGTCCCCATACCATGATGTCCTCGCATCATCCCTGTGCTGATTGGTGGGTCCTCAACACAGCTGGCAATGTCCGATACACACTTTATGGTTCTACCTGGACCATCAGGCCTGTCTACAAACTGAAGAAAGCTCTGGAAGCCAAGTCTTTACAAGAAGTACCTAGGCTGCACTCAGCTCTAAGGGGAACTCCTGGCACACCCAGACACAGGGAGCAATCCATAGGATAACCATTGAAAGGACTATCAGTCCTGGCATGTGGCAGTTACTGAGACCTGGAGGGCCTTTCTCACTAAGCATCCTGATGCCATCACCTGGCCCTTCCTTCCTATGCCTGGAGAATTATGTGAGGCACCTGGTTTGGTCACTGCACAGTGAGTACCAACACCATGTGTGTGGGGAAGCATTGCACAGGCATCAGGCAGTGCAAGGAGGGAATCAGATGTGGACCAGGAACCCACAATAAGAGAAGGAGGGTGACCCAGAACATGGCATCTAACAGTAACTTCTGGTGAGAAATGGGGTAGACCAGTCCTTGTGCCCAGGCAGGGACTCTGAACAGAAACTTCCCACCAACAACAATGTCTCTGAGGATGAGACAGAAGCTAGGCCAACATCCAGTTCTGCTGTCTGCACCTTGGCAGATGATTAATAGACATGAGGGACATCATGCAACAGAAGCATGTCACCTTGTATGACATCTGGGGTCAGAGCATGTTCCCTATAGACCAGGGCCTGCTATCAGCATGGGTAGGGGGCAGCAAGTGCCCACAGCTGTCGGACAGAGAGTCCGAAGGGAGAACATGGCCTGCTAACAGTCAGAGTTTGGATCTCTCTTCATTCCCAGAAAACAAACTCCACCCTCCATCATGTGTATGAAA